CATGATGAACGATCTACATTCATTTCTTCCTTAACGCGATCGAACAGACAAAATCGATCGCGATAGACAGTTCAGATCGACACAAGATTGATATAAATACCCCACACCACAAAAGAATCTAAATCTTAGCCACCAGCTCCCGTCGAAGAATGAAGCCGATCAACGATCGCCGTTGCACCCGAGTCACCGCCAACTGCCAAAAAATTATAACAATATACAAAATATAAAAATATATATTATTGTGATTTTTAATGATAAAAAATACAAAATACTTATTAAAAATATTACCATTAAATCTAACCATATATTTTTAAGAGGGGGATGTGCATGTGTAGTTGTTGCAATGCCCTAATCCACCGGTACTTACAATGAGTTAACAAATGATATTTTATTTAAATAGTCCGAATTTCAAATTAAAACTTGACCCATGCTTATAAGGAAGCATTAAATAAACAGCAGCACATATGTGTTTACACGTATATATATATATATATATTAAGGGTATTCCATTTTATATATATATATATATATGTGTATGACAAATTTCCAATAGTAAATAATGAATTTCTCTGAGTTATGATAAACCTAAAAAAAGTAAGGACGAGACACGAAAAGGCAAGGATGAGATTCGAATCAGTGATAAATGTTTTTTTAGTATAAACTTATATATTTTAATATTTAGTCAAGATTTGTCTGACAACCTATTAAAGATTTTCAGTTTTTTTATTAATAATTATATATATATATATCTCTCTCTATATATATATATATACACTAGTTTGGTTAGAATCAATAATTAAATATATTAAATTAATAATTAGATGTACCCGTATACTTATTTAACCATACGTACATATATGTATATTTTATTAATATGTTTATAAATTTTTTTAAAAATACACAGTTAAATTCAATTTCAAAATCAGATAAGAGGAAAATATTTAATTCACAATAAAATTAGGAACCCTAAAAAAGAATATCTGGAAACCTAAGAAAAACACAAAAGTTAGAATTTTGCGTTAAAAAAATTAATGAAATTATGTGATTAATTAATTTTAAGCTCCATTATTACCGTCTAAATCAAGTAATTTACGTAGAAGTAATAAAGGAGGAATCTTTTTTGGGTTGCGAGATATTGAATCTTGACAACATAAAAGGCCAAGTTCACTGTTCTTTTTTTGCTATTTTAATAAAGTGCTAAAAAAAACGTGAGAATAACAATACGATAAATTTAGAAAAGAGAAAAAGGTATATGCCGAGATTAATGGGGTTTATATGCCGAGATTAATGGCGTTAAGTATTTTCATACAATATAAAGCTAGGTAGGAAGGAGATAGAGATAGTACCTTGTTCAAAGTACCTTGTTCAAAGTGTAGAATTGCAGCAGAGGATATCAATGGTTGATCAGGACGAGGTGATACTGTTGGATTTCTGGCCGAGCATGTTCGGGATGAGAGTGAGAGTCGCACTGGCGGAGAAGCAAGTAAAGTACGAGTACCGAGAAGAGGACACGTTTGGGAAGAAGAGCCAGTTGTTGCTTGACTCAAACCCGGTGCACAAGAAGATTCCCGTTCTGATTCATAACGGAAATCCGATTGCAGAGTCGCTCGTCATTCTCGAGTATATCGACGAGGTTTGGAACCACGCGCCTCTCCTCCTTCCTCCTCATCCTCTGCACAAAGCCAGAGCAAGATTTTGGTCGAATTACATCGATCAGAAGGTGATTTAAGTAATTATCTAATCAATCGATTGTTTATTTGATAATCTCTTTCAGTTTCTCATACAAATTTGTGTCATCGAGTAGGTATTTAAAGCTGGAATGAGGACATGGACGACGAAGGGGAATGAACAGGAGGTGGCGAAGAAGGAATTTATAGAAATTCTGAAGGTTCTAGAAGGTGAGCTCGGAGAGAAACCGTATTTTGGAGGAGACGAATTTGGATTTGTTGATGTGGCTTTGATTACATTCTATCCCTGGTTTCACACCTTCGAGAACCTGGCGAAGTTCAGTGTTGAAAATGAATGTCCTAAGCTGATTGCATGGGCGAAGAGGTGCATTACGAAGCCAACCGTCGCCGCATCTCTCTCCGATCCCGTCAAGATCTGCGAACGCATCTCCGGTGTTGCTAGGGTTCATGATTTCTTCTACTCTTGATTCGAGTGAAAAATCATTCCGAGCTCGTCGAACAGAAAATGATTCGGCGAGTTTAATAAACCTGATTGGTTTTTCACTGTTGTAATGTAACTTCTGGTGACGCATTGATTTGAATTTCCTTCATCTTCCCGCGTCTCTCTCTCTCTGTATTATTCCAGTTCAATAAATAAAGAGAGATTTATATAATACTAAAATCACCATACTCCACTCTAATTATTATTATTATTTTTATTTAAAAATAATTAATTTGAATTTAAATATAAAGTTTACTATTTTATATCGTATTACCAACCGGTAGTCGCGGTTCTTATACGAACTTAATCTATAAGTATTTTATTAAAATTATAGTGATCAAATTAAATTTCAGAATACATATTATATTTATAGATAAAATAAATATTACGTAACCGATTTATAATATTTAAGTAAATATAAATAATAACTTAATTTATAAGTGGTATGATGGAATTCCGTTAATTTTAAATTACAACGAGCATTTAACGTGATTATTATCCTTTCG